TTCCCTCGTCCCCGGTGTTAATCACTATCGAATCAGCCCTCCTGCTTTGGGCTCGACAGCATCGGGATTGCTCTTTTCACCAGACCTCAGATCGACATGAGGCTGTATCTGGATATCCTGGGTACCATAAGGATTCAAGATCGCCACCGAGCTTCTGACCTTGGCCGCATTGGGTCCTTCCACAGAAGTGATGCCTTCGGCCTCACTGGTATTAGCGATCGAACGATGAGAGCTTTCCTCGTCTCCGGTGTTAATCACTATCGAATCAGCCCTCCCTGCTTTGGGCTCGACAGCATCGAGATTGCTCTTTTCACCAGACCTCAGATCGACATGAGGTTAAGTCTGGATATCCTGGGTACCATGAGAATTCAAGATCGCCACCGAGCTTCCCACACGATCCATAACGGTATCATTCTTCTGAGGTCGGACCAACACCTTTGATCCTAGGCCATCTCTTAGTTCGGCCTTGGCAAGATCTTCCCCAACCAAGAGCGCATTCGAGGACTTTCGATCAACAGACAGGCCTGGAGCCGCCTTTGGTCGAGGTTGGGAGATGTTCCTCTCATTGAGAACCCTGTTTCTAGCCCTATGCACCTTCGTCTTCTTACGATGGATCTTGCCTTCCCTCCGCGGGACCCCTGTCTCCCCCTCTAGACTACCAGACGGCATCCCAACCGGGATCGGAGGTCCCATGCCCATCTCGGGGATGTTGGACTTCTCCTCCGTTACGCTCACCGCTGAAGTGGTAACGCTGTTGTTCTCATATGACAATGGTCTCCTCGTCGAGGCAAGGTCGGCAGGTGCGGTGTCATTCGGAGCATCAGCGCCCCTCAGCGAGGCGTACGAGTGGTTTTCACTATTGTGAAGTGATGGCAGCCCTGCAAACTGGACCACGCCCTCTACATAGCCCTTGTTCGATATCGAAGTCGGTTCCCAGTGTCGGTGGTTACCTGACAAGACTCTTACTGGACAATAAGGAGAAGACCTTGACTTGTAGCGGTCGGGCTTGAGCCTTACCTGTCGCCAAGATTGGAGTAATGAATAAGACGGTAAATGATAAGATAAAATGTAGACGGTGGGGGAAGGAGATGTGGATGAGATGCATTAACCCTTCCGGGTCGGCTGAGAGAAGATGATTTCAGCGGCGAATGAAACCACCATAGCCCGATCGCCTAATTCGTGGAACGGAAATTGTGGAAACAAATTCTGCGCTCTTAGCGGAGCGATGCTCGAATATGTGGCTGAGGAAAATTCACGATGAGTACTTTCTTGCTGATGGCTATTATTCCCGACAGTTTTAATAATTTGCTCTTTTGTTTGTGCCTCTCTACATTGCGCTCAGGAAAGTCAGATAACGGGGCAGGGTTTACGTCGAAGGAAGGATCTTCAAAAAGTTGGCCTCCTTGTTGCGAGACTTCGGGCACCGGGTACGAACATTTCCTAGGGATCAGGAGCAGTGTGTGAGAGAATCAGCATGTGAGCGCGTAGATGATGATGATCATTGTTACGCAATGAGAAAATTCCGAGAAAACCTCGCTGGTTTCTGCATGTTCTTACACCTACTCGTATACATCTACAGTGTAAATTCTACACTTCTCGAGAAGTTTTTGATGAACCAAATACTTGTGCGGAACGGAGCTACATTGACTTGCGGTGTCACTTGGCTCAAGGTTGAGTCTCCCCATTGGTAACTCAAAAGTGTCGTTATCTACGGAGTTAACCATGACAGGATGATAGTAATACCAACTACACCATCGTAAGCCGATGATGCGTCAATGATCCCGCAACGGAGGCACATGTACTGAGTGTTAAGGGCTCGACCTATGCGCGCCAGCGAAGCGATCGATTTCATTATGAAATTTTCATATCGGTAGAAAAAGGGATTGGTTACAATGAAAGGGCCCTTTGGATAGACTTGGTGCAGTGCACGGTGCACTGTGCACCTTAATCGAAAAAATGTCGAATCAGAAACACGGATCAATCTCCATGTCAAAGTCATGATTTGCAATTCAGGACATGATATTGTGGGATCAACGGGAGCCACATGTTGACTAACACAACTCGGAAGTGCAATTTGGACTCAAAAGGAGAACTACTCAGACTCATGATCTCTTATATAAATTTAATCCTCATCCTTAGAACTTGCATCGTCGTAAAAAAGGGCCATCGGCCATAGCGAGATCGATCTGATGAGCATGAGTACGCGTGCACAAGCACGCATGCGCAACGAAAAGGGAGAAGCCCAACAATGGAGCTGGCAAACATGGTGTAGTCTGCTGTAATCGACCATCCTTTACTCTACAGATATTATCAAGAATTGCTTTTGGCCACACCGATGCGAGAGTTACCCCAATCATATAAATAGTAGTGACCAATGACCGTTGGCAACCCCAATATCCACGTATCTTCGAATGTGATGGCTAGGAGGCAGATAGACTTAGATTCTGGGATCACATAGCTACTGGATGGTATCTCAATCGACACGTCTGAAGGAATGCGGCCTGTCCCCTTGACGAAAAAGGTTATCGAGGGTAGATACTTCGCATCCGCGCAGGAGATTTCATAAAAACCAGACTCCTCTTTGATGGTAACTGTCTTCTCGCCAGCAGACGCCAGTAGTTTGAGGATCGACTGTTTTAACTTCTCGGGAAATTCAATATGGTTGGCGCCTGTGTCGAAGTGACCCTCCTCTGATACTTTGATGCGATGCTTGCGCACGTCGCCAATGCCCAAACCCGACATTCTGACGGTTTTATCATCTTTGTTGACAATTTCCATATATTCCAGTGAGCCGCTGTACTTGGTCTTGTCTTCACCACCGAGGATGAGCTCGCCGATAGGATGAATCGCAGCATTGAGATACACTGAGAAGATGCTCTTCTCGATCAACCTCTCCCTTTCCGGCTGAGCCAGTAGCTGATTGATCAGCGGAACATATGGACGTCCCGTAGTGCTGGGCGGCGCTAGACCGAGGGCAGCTGAAGCTTTACCATTAGTTCCATCAAGCAAACCGAAGCCGATACCATTTGCGGTGGAAGAGCCAAAATTGACTTTCCCAGAGTGCGGGAAGAGAGTCACACGCGTGCCGTCGAAGAATTCGAACTGCTTCTTCGGACCCTCGCGACATGGCGCTGGATTACACTCGTAGCACTTGTAGATGATTTTCTCGCAGCCACCTGGAGCGGTGCTCTCGTACCAGTGTCGCCATACAAAGTACGTGATTGGACTCCCGGTGTCAACAAGGGCGGTCACATCTTCACCATCGATCTTCAAATTGGTCAACAGATGAGCCGAATTCGCCGCGCCGGACACTTTCTGCGGAGATATACCCATTCGGATCAACTTCTCTCCCCAACACTTGCCCAGAAATAGGGCACCAATCAGGACCGAAGAAGCCGTGTGAATCATTGAAGGGATTGAGATATCACGAGTAGAACGTTGAGAACCGTCAGACAGACCCGACTCTGAACTCGACAGAGAATAGGGGAAAGCCGGAAGCTTATCTTAACTCTTGTTCCTCGGAAAGCCTGTGCATGCCTATCGATCCGGGAATGGATATCTCACACAGAAACTATACGCCAATCTCGTCCGCGCAACGAGAACAGCAGACAGTCCTGCGGCACACGACAAAAGGGACGTCATTATGACTAATAATGTGGCAACGAACGATCCATTACGTAGAACGCCCTGTTCCGCGCGTACTTGTGGACACGCATAGACGGTCACCGTCTATGCGTGACGTTGTGGTAAGATTCTTAGCTTGTCTCTTTTGTCGCTAGTCCCAATGATTGGGACTGTCCCAATCAGCTATAATACATAAGTTTATAGATTTCATTTCTGTTGCTATTTATTAATTAGTAATTAATAATTACTCAATTATCAGTAAGTGGTAATTATTAATTAGTATTATTGGGACTAGCGACAAAAGAGACAAGCTATGAATCTTACCACAACGTCACGCATAGACGGTGACCGTCTATGCGTGTCCACAAGTACGCGCGGAACAGGGCGTTCTACGTAATGAATCGTTCGTTGCCACATTATTAGTCATAATGACGTCCCTTTTGTTGTGTGCCGCAGGACTGTCTGCTGTTCTCGTTGCGCGGACGAGATTGGCGTATAGTTTCTGTGTGAGATATCCATTCCCGGATCGATAGGCGTGCACAGGCTTTCCGAGGAACAAGAGTTAAGATAAGCTTCCGGCTTTCCCCTATTCTCTGTCGAGTTCAGAGTCGGGTCTGTCTGACGGTTCTCAACGTTCTACTCGTGATACCTCAATGGTTCACACGACTTCTTTGGAGCTGATTGGTGTACTATTCCTGGGCAAGTGTTGGGGAGAGAAGTTGATCCGAATGGATATATCTCCGCAGAAAGTGTCCGGCGCGGCGAATTCGGCTCATCTGTTGGCCAATTTGAAGATCGATGGTGAAGATGTGACCGCCCTTGTAGACACCGGGAGTCCAATCACGTACTTTGTATGGCGACACTGGTACGAGAGCACCGCTCCAGGTGGCTGCGAGAAAATCATCTACAAGTGCTACGAGTGTAATCCAGCGCCATGTCGCGAGGGTCCGAAGAAGCAGTTCGAAGTCTTCGACGGCACGCGTGTGACTCTCTTCCCGCACTCTGGGAAAGTCAAGAGCTAAGAGCGCGGAATTTGTTTCCACAATTTCCGTTCCACGAATTAGGCGATCGGGCTACATTTGCCGCTGAAATCATCTTCTCTCAGTCGACCCGAAAGGGTTAATGCATCTCATCCACATCTCCTGCTCCCACCGTCTACATTTTTCTCTTATCATTTACCGTCTTATTCATTACTCCAATCTTGGCGACAGGTAAGGCTCAAGCCCGACCGCTACAAGTCAAGGTCTTCTCCTTATTGTCCAGTAAGAGTCTTGTCAGGTAACCACCGACACTGGGAACCGACTTCGATATCAAACAAGGGCTATGTAGAGGGTGTGGTCCGGTTTGCAGGGCTGCCATCACTTCACAATAGTGAAAACCACTCGTACGCCTCGTTGAGGAGCGTTGATGCTCCGAATGACACCGCACCTGCCGACCTTACCTCGACGAGGAGACCATTGTCATATGAGAACAACAGCGTTACCACTTTAGCGGTGAGCGTAACGGAGGGGAAGTCCAACATCCCCGAGATGGGCATGGGGCCTCCGATCCCGGTTGGGATGCCGTCTGGTCGTCTAGAGGGGGAGGCAGGGGCCCCGCGGAGGGAAGGAAAGATCCATCATAGGGAGACGAAGGTGCATAGGGCTAGAAGCAGGGTTCTCAATGAGAGGAACATCTCCCAACCTCGACCAAAGGCGGCTCCAGGCCTGTCTGTTGATCGAAAGTCCTCGAATGCGCTCTTGGTTGGGGAAGATCTTGCCAAGGCCGAACTAAGAGATGGCCTAGGATCAAAGGTGTTGGTCCGAGCTCACAAGAATGATACCGTTAAGGATCGTGTGGGAAGCTCGGTGGCGATCTTGAATCCTTATGGTACCCAGGATATCCAGATTTAACCTCATGTCGATCTGAGATCTGGTGAAAAGAGCAATCCCGATGCTGTCGAGCCCAAAGCAGGGAGGGCTGATTCGATAGTGATTAACACCGGAGACGAGGGAAGCTCCCATCATTCGATCGCTAATACCAGTGAGGCCGAAGGCAATGCTGATGCTATCGCGCTGTCTCTTATTTCTATGATGCACGCATGCGCATCAGCATGAATATTGCCGGTAGAACGCATGCGCATCTTCTTGACCTTCTGATGATGTACGTGCACTATTAACTAATCTCGTTATTTCTGGTCTATGCTCGATCTACTTGAGCTTTGTTATTGCTTCGTATCGTCAGTACGTACTTCCATCTTTCCTCTATGTCTAGTGTTGCCAGTCGGACTCGGGCGAAGCGGGCACGCACCTTATCTCCGCACCCACATGGAGATTCACAACAACATTATCATCCGAGAACGGTCACGCCCAGCGAATTCGCCGAGTTCCGAGATCAAGTTGGCAACTCCCGCAAGGGCATTACTGAAGCAATCACCATGATGACATCACAATTAAACGGTCTGCAAGAGAGCAAAGCCGCTCCACCTGTGGTGGGATCAGCACACGATCCGGTCACTTCTGAAGTCGAATCTCACAGCCCTGCACCCTTGCAGACGTCAGAGAAGGAACCTGGGATGGCAGCAGACCCCAGTACGAGGCCAGTTATGATGTCTGGTGTTCAACCTACGCCCCATTTGCCTGGGGCATCTTCAGACTTCAAGGCTCCGATCGGGCCCACTTCTCCCCCATTCTTGTACGGACAGCCGCCTACTGTGAACCCGACTCCCGAAGGGGTGTCCTTCACGTCGAATGCGGCTCCGGTCACGTTGCTATCACCTGAGTTAACAGCTGTTACAAGAACTGTTCCCTTGAGGCGAGCCGTATGGGGGACGAAGGCCTTCTCAGAAGTCCTGGCGAGTGTTAGGAAGAGTGCTAAGTTGCCAGGAGGACCTTATAAGGGCACAGGTGATTCCCGCTGTCTTGGGGAGTTCTTGCGTGAGTTGGAGATCGACCTGACGTTTGCTGCGGGGGATGATGTCTGGAAGTTAGCCTTCCTACTCAACATGCTGAGCCATGGGGTACGGGCCGAGATACTGCAGTTGTATGAAGCTGCCCATCGTTGCCCGTTGCAAACTCACTTAGCAGAAGGACGATATGGGGTCGCGCTGCAGGCTGTTCAGGGGTTGTTGCGGCAGACCTATTCCACAGCCGATGATAGGCGGCAGGTGATCAATAAGTTCAACTCGCTGAGCGTTAGCGGGACTACAATAGAACATTATGACTACCAGTTCGACTTGCTCCGTACTGAAGTCCAGATAATATCTGGCCAACCCCTCTCAGAAGATACGGTGATAGCACATTACCTCAACGGCTTAGGTCAAGGAGCTCAAAGATTCGCAGAGGTCCACCTGAGCAGCGTAGCAACGTTCGGGGAGCTTCGACGTCGGATTCGTGCCTTTTGGAAATCTGAAGCTAAATACTCGCAGGTGTCTGCTAAGTTAGTGTCGTGCAGCTCTGGAGAAGCTGATCATAACGAAAATAACCAGTGCTGATGCCCCTGTCTCGAATAATGCCATTCTTGGTCTGGGAACCCCGATCAGCGAAGTGGAATTGGTTCCTCAGCGTGTTAGCTGCCGGATCCGGATCTCTCTCAATTTGCCTGACACATTCTCATAACCCTGTATTACTCAATAATCCTTACTCGATAGAGACATCCACAGCCTCAGTGCTGTCCCTGGCCTCCTGCTCTCTGGCCTTCCGCTGTCGGGCATCTTCCTCCTCTCGTGCCTCGGGGGAATCGGACAGCATCAGAACCTACAGCACTTCTGGTTCATTTCATATTTTGCCCGGATTTCGTATTGGCGCACTTCGAAAAATGCCTTTTTTCAACATCTTACCAACTGGTTTTAGTGAATTATCGGAAATTTCGATGAAGTAGCTTGTATTCTCAAAAACGTACCAACTTCAATTAACGAAGTTAGTAAGTAAAATGTCGTCAGAACTGCCCTCAATTGCTTACACCGTCCACTGCAAGATGCCATGCTGTGTGATCCACTTCTGTATCAACCTTATACGATCTGTCCTTGAAGGAAAACTCGGCGGTATTGTCGGGAGCGTGTGGATCATGAGGATGGAGAACCCGTGGAGGGACCTATCGGCAAGAGCAGTCGAGGGGAGCTCGAGAGGTGTCCGTCACTGACCTCCTTCTCCAGCTCTTCTGGAGTGAGGTCCACCTGGTCCTCTGGGACGACCTAAAAGCCATGGACCATCCATCTCTAGATAGGAAGTGATCTTAGCCTACCTTAACGACAAGCTGCATGTCGGGGTCGAAGTCGAAGGCGTCAGCCATGGTCTAGTAATGCCAGAAGTATTTCAACACTGTATTCAAGCACTACCTGCTACAGGTGGTATCTAGTCTCGATGTCTTTAGAGACACCCTGTACTGAGGATATTGACCAACACCACTACTCCTTGACCGTAAAATGACGATCAACATCTCATGCGAGATCTCCTTATAGTTTCCTGGCCCTCGGCTGTGAGAGCCACTGCTCCATCCAAGACCCTTAGAGTGATAGAAACTCGCGTGTCACCACCCAAGCAAGCATTATCCCTTTTGATGCCATGCATCCACTGTGTTTGGGATAGACCCGCGATGAGACAGGCACTTCTCCTCGGCAAGCCGACGTCATAGTAGACACCCTCCTTGGGGTTGGCAAAGGCCATAATACAATCAGCCGCCAACGAGAGGTCGAGGATGCCGTCAGCCCAGACCCAACTGTGGTCAACATGGAGATCAATACTACTACCTCTACTCACAGCGTACTCCTGTACCACCATCTCGTGCCAGGCGTGGTCCAACAGGAGGCCGAGGCCCGTATGGATTCGAGGGAGCACCAAGTCGATGCTGTGAGGAAGGCCTTGGAAGTTGTCCGGACATTTCAACTTCCTCTTCTTGAAGTTCACTTGCGGGCCATAGTCCTGCTTCCGACGTCCCGACTGCGACAGCTTCCACGGTCGAGCATAGATATCTCCAAGCAGGGTGGCCTCCTCCGCTTCCGTGATTGCATCGGCTAGTACTACGAGGCCAGGTGGGACTATGTCCGACTTGGCAGTGTCCGCCACCCCATCAGGTAAGTAACGAGGCCGGGGGTGAGTGGACTTGAGAGAACGGCCAGTGACCTCCTCACAGAGCCGGCAGCTACGTACACCCGTGCAAGCGCAGTGAGATGTGCAGTCGGATAAAGACATAGGACGCTGTGAAAGACTGACGGGATGAGACTTGGACTTCGATTGACGATAACACCAATACGCCATGGTAACTAGCAATGGATTATAGCACAACAGTGCATGGCAATGGCCAAAAACATGGGCTTATCGAGGGAAGCTCGGGACATCCTTCAAGCACATGCTGAGGACGATGAGGAACCTCCACTTCCCTACGATGATGAGGTTCGATAGTTGGGACATGCTACTCCTGCCCTACTGTGTGGACCGTCCCTGCAAATGGTCGAACCAGATTGTATCGTCTTCCAGGCGATGGTATGTTGACCTTCCTCACCCTATGACCAGTACCATCATATCTACCACCATTAAGGTGTCGATGTAATAAGAAATGAAATGTGTACCTTGTCCTGCTTCTTTGTGTTTGGATGGTATCCTTAGCACACAGGAAAGAGCCAATGACAGCTGCCACCAACAGGACTGTCACAACGGTGACGGCTATAAATGACCCTGAGAAGTGGGCCCATAACAAATTGTTATTAACAATCAGCCAACACTCAATGAGACTTACTCATAGCTCCCTCCCCACTAGACTCGTTGTTCACAATAATCTCGGTCGGTCCATCCCCTTCCCGCGAGTTCATCCGCCCGGTTGAAGGGGAGATGCCCATCTCATTACCACTCTCTGAGCTCTTCTCAGGGCCAGTCCCATCATCGACCCTTGATGCTGATGCCACCCTCTCCAGATCATCAGAGCCCTCCTTCTTGAACCGACCGTCTGCAGCCGTCTGTTGAACTTCCTCCTCACCACCTCTCGCACCGAGTCAAGAGCATTGCTTACGCTGACCTTGGCCGCATTGGGCCCT